CCCCAAAACCCCAAAACCCCAAAACCCCAAAACCCCTTAATCAATCAATTTTATTGAATAATGCCGTACTTGGATATTTTTAATAATGCTGTTCAGAATTCATTAACTTCTTACAAAAGCATGAGCTCAGGAGTTTCGATATATTTTTTGAAGTGTTGGCCCCAAATTGCTGCTTCAGCACCATCTACAACTCTGTGATCGGAACTCAAAGTGAATGAGATGACATTGGCAGTCCTATATTCACCTTCCTCTTCAGTTGGAAGGACTCGCTGCTGGGATCCCCCAACAGCTAAAATACAAGCTTGAGGAGGATTAATGATTGCTGAGAAGTGAGCCACTCCGAACATTCCGAGGTTAGAAACCGAGAAAGTACCTCCTTGGAATTCTTCAGGCTTGAGTTTGTTCTCTCTAGCTCTAGCTGCAAGGTCTTTCATTTCTGCAGAAATGGTTTCGAGACCTTTACTGTTAGCTTCTCTAATAATAGGAGTGATGAGGCCTCCTTCAGTGCTGACAGCTACACTCACATCAACATTAGTGTACTGTCTGATGTAGTCGCCTTGCCAAGAAGAGTTTGCTTGAGGAACTTTCTTTGATGCAAGCGAGGATGCTTTGATAATCATATCATTTACTGAAATTTTAGATTCAGAGTGGTTATTCAGCATACTTCTGAGCTCCAAAAGCCTATCTACCTCAGCATCTACAGTTACATAATAGTGTGGGATGGTTTCTTTACTCTCAGATAATCTGCTAGCAATAATCTTACGAACCTGAGTCAATGGGATATCTTCATAATTCAGAGATGCTGGAGCAGAGGAAACAAAGGCCTGAGCAGGTGATGATTTCTTTGGCTGAGTAATAGGTTTAGAAGAAGCCTTAGGAGCTGGAGTTGGTTTAGGAGTTTTAGCTGGCTCTGAAGTTGGAGTAGCTGGCTCAGGAGCTTTTGGCGTCTTCTGAGGAGCATTGGAGCTACTTTCTGGTTTATAGTCTTTAAAAGCAGCAATATCATCTTCATCCTCAACTAAAATTGCGACCAATTCTCCCAATGCAATATCTTGAGCACCTTCTTCTACCAATAGTTTGGCAACATATCCATCTTCTTGCATTTCAAAATCAACAGTGGCCTTATCAGTTTCGACTTCTGCTAGGATATCTCCTGGCTCTACTTGATCTCCTTCTTTCTTGCACCATTTTGCAAGATTTCCTTTCTCCATTGTTGGTGATAAACTTGGCATCTGAAGCTTGACATGAGGTGGAAGATCTGAAAAGAATCTCAATGGAACTGAATTCAAGCTATAATGCAAAGTTAGCCATTTCTCTTTGCTAAATTATCTCTAATTCTTAAAAATATTTCTTAAATTATGAATGACCAGCATACCCTATTTTGGAACAACTACTTCTAAAGGGTAATACTAAAATAATTATTGGCTAATGAAGCACGATGGTTACCTTTTGTAATTGTTCAAATCAACTTTAGCCCCAGAAGTTATGGCTCTAACACCAGTTTGAGATGCATATTTATTCATTACTACAAAAGTCCTGACGTTGCTCTTAGTAAAAGTCTTAAGAGATGGCCCGCTGGCTAGCCTTTTATTAAGAAATGCTCTGGTTAACATAATATCTAAAATTATTTATTTCAATTAACAAGAGTTTAAACGGGGTTTTGGGGTTTTGGGGTTTTGGGGTTTTGGGGTTTTGGGGTTTTGGGGTTTTGGGG